TCTTACAGCTTGTTTATCATTCATGTCTTTCTGTGATTATCCCTAGTTTTTAATTTTTAAAACTGTAAACTGTCTGTAGTAGACTAACGTCATTTTGCAACAAGAAATTTTGTGGTATGGCTAACAACTAGCACATAGAAGGACTACTCTTAGACAACTCTATCCAAACTCTAAAAAAAAAATTGTTTGACATAGAACTATATCCATATGTTGAATTCCAATACTGTACATTTATTACTTTTCTCACAGCTAAATAATGTTTGTATAAACTGGAACTGAGCAAATCATGGAGCTGTAACTAGCATTGCAACTTTAACGTAGTTACCAGGCAAGATTTGGCTCATGTCTCTCAAAGTACTATGAACATTTTTAGTTTTTGTTGTTTTAATGAGCTAAAATCAGCTTAAACAGGTTGTCCATCTGTCTATTGTTAATCTTGTAAAACTGTTATTGAAAAAAAGTGTACATCAGCTCACTTCTTGAAGAAAATAAGTACACTTTCCTGCTAACTTAAGGCTTTTAGTTGAGCAGACCACTGAAATTGTCCCTATGTGTGTTACGCCAAAGGATGGCAATGGCTGCAGGTATTTATAGACCTTGACTTCAATCAGAGCTGAACACAACACCTTAAGTGGAAAAGGTTCATTTTTCAATCATTTCCTTGCTTCAATCAGTGCAGGGCAGACCTCCGGTTCATTTAAGGAGACTTTTAGCCTAATGCACCACACGTTTTGGATGAACAGCCTATGAGAACAAAAACATGAAGAAAAAAAAAAAAGTTCTGCATGATACTTGGCAAATAATCATTTGGTTTAGTGTTTCATAATACAATATCTTTCTATTTTTTAGTTACAACATTCCTTTTTTTTTTGCTTTCTATAGTCAGGATCTTAATCATTTTTGTCAGGTTCAAAAATCTGGGACACGAGAATTGATGCAACAGGTCAAGTATTTTTTTTTTATGAAATGTTGAATGGATGTTAAGTGAAACATAAAATCTCATCCATTTCTACCTGCATTTAGTCTTTTGCATGTTTGATTATTCCACTGTGACAATATTAACATATAAACAAAAATTTATATGCTCTCATTCTTATACACTTTGTTTATTATTTGATATTCAGGCAACAGCTGTTTTTCTTACTGTTCACATTCCTTTGAATCATATACATGGAATGACAATCCTGGGAAAACTTAGGCCCGTTTATGCAAATATTGTCTAGAGTAAAGAGAAAAAGTACATATTGCTAGAATACCAGATTACAGTTATTCTAAAGTGAAAAGACAATGTCATGTTATATTAAAAATATCATTCCAGAATATGCACAGATACAGAAAAGAAAAAAAAAGATGACCACTTTTAGTAATTTGCAATAAAAGGGGAAAAAAGACAATCCTAATTGGATAAGATATATTTCCCTTGAGTTGCATTTGCTGCCATGAGCTAAATTAAGTGTCTTAATTCCAGAGGGAGACCCAACAAAAAAGCACTTACTGGAGAAGTTAATGCTCTCTAGTGTTTTGTTGAGCTCCATCTAAAACCCTGCTTCTCACACTGGGCTGTGAAGAACTGTCTTGGGATGACAACTGAAAATTGAACGGTGTGCTGATTGGTGTGCATGTGTGTATCCATACATCTCGGAACTGAGCCAGCAAGGGCAGCTTAGGATCTATTGCAACACACTCTATATAAGGCGATTATGGCGAGGGGGGGGGTGGGTTCAGCCGACTGGCTCAAGCAGCTGTGAACTTTGGCACAAGAGTCACAATACCAACCTTTGCCCCATTCGCACTAATCAACAAGACCTTTTCAGCATGACTTCATTTTAGGAAATGCTACAATAAAGCTGTCATTTTTTAACCACATCCTGCTTTAAGGCAGCAAGTCTTTTTGTTTGTTTTGTTGGTTTTTTTTACTATGCCTAACCCTTCCAATGTACTGTTCCTATACTGAGAGCCTGCTCTTACATGGCCACTCAGGCATAAAACACAAGAAATCATGAGAGACATATGGCTCAACGATAAACTTCGCATTTGAACTGGTAGTGCTGGCTCATAAACTCCGTTATTCTGAGTGGGGGTTGGGATTTCCAGAAGATGTAAGAAACAAGAAAAAAACTGAAAAGAGAGATGCTAAACTGACTAGTCCATTAGTAGAAGGCAAGGCTTTTTGTGCCAGTGATTTCTGATGCTTACTGTACATAAAACAGCATGAAGGTGTTGCAGGCTCTTGGCCTGCTGTTGTATTTTTTTTAATCAAACAATAAACAAATTAAAAGATTTTAACCATAATATGAAATCATAGATCCCTAACTTTCTATCTGATTTTTATTTAACTCAAAAGTGCATCAAACTATGTCCTTTTGTTTGAAGTTTCATTTTAAAAGCCAAAATGGTTGGTTTTGTTCAGAGCCCCTCAAGAAAGAAAAATCTGATCTGGGTCTATAACTAATTGGTTGGTTTAAGATTAAAAACGGAGATTCCGTGAGATCCTAAAGGTCATGGAAATTTGTTAAAAAAGATATTTGGGACACGTTTGCTAATTCAAAGCATGAAAGAGAACCGTAGTTACAATTAACTGTAACTATATCTTGAATAGCTTTTACTCTCTAGCCTATTAAGCCTTCCTGCTTGGTTTCTTGCCACTTTTAAATTGGAAAAGCTGATTGCTACTTTATTTACTTTAAGAGACATTTTGTAAGTTTTTACTGAAAATTATCTTTAAGATAGCCTTTTATTTGACACTTTACAAATACAAGTTTGGTTGATAAGCAGACAGAGACCTCAGTAGTTCAATGCAGATGCATCTATAAGCCTGTATCCTATTTTCCCTGATTGGACTTTAGTTTGGAAGTTCCTGCGCAGTTTGGCGGCTGTGATGCCATGTTAAAGTGGTCCAACCTACTAAACAATCGAAGGGTTATATTCAAGATAGATTTTGTGGATACTCAGAGGTGACCCCCATCCAACTCAAGTCAGACACCAATGACAACTCCACATAAGATGAAAAAAAACAACATGAGCATGAGCTATGAGAACAAGCAGAGGAGTGCTGCAGTTCTGTGTTTTGACCAAAGGTGGCAGCATCCTTAGGAATCTCTGTCATGCCTATCTAAGATTTGGCAGCACTCGTAAAGTTGATTAAGTTGGTTAATTGAGTCATCATTGGACCCCAGCTGTGTTAACTTGATAGCCAAAAGTTGATCTATCAACGAGATATAAATTGGAATGGACCCCTTAAATGAGCAGAATGGCAACATTTTTGCCTGTTTCCTTTCATAATTCTACAGAGAATTTGCCAATCATCAAAACATACAAAAAACTAGGAGGAGGATATGCAAAAATAAATACAAGCACCAATCTCACTTATCAGATCTGTATGTATTGGGGATGCAATACATTTGAAGAACAGGTGCAAACTCACCAGGGGGAGGGGTTTTGTTATTACTTTTATTCCCATTATCAGATCAAGTGAAAAAAACATTATTTTTAAATCTTATACTTTCCAATTCTGGGAAGACTTAAAAACTTGGTGTATAACCTTTAATTAAAGGCAAATAACACTTAAAAAGTAATCAATTTAACTACAACTTTATACCCATGCAGATGAAAGCTAATGTTAGCCATGACTTGTGCCAAGTGCTACAAGGACAGCTCGCAAGGCTCCTGCATATGAATGAGGCTTCATTTGCAAGCAATGAAGATTTAACAAAGACCGTGTATCAATTTGGATCTGCTGATGTGTTAGTCTTCCTACTGTAACTCTCAAGAGTCAAGACATTGCGTATAGGGCACCAAAACTGTCCAAAGCCATGAATCCAGGAGCCTTAAATCTCCAGCCCTGGTTATGACAGCCCTCATAAAGCCAAATGCAGAAGAATGTCTACAACATCATCTTTAATAAGTGAATCAGTCCTCGATCAAAGTGTATTAAAAAATGTTGCTTTATATTGACTTTATTTGTCTCACTGTGGAGATGCAGGTATATATATATATATATATATATATATATATATATATATATATATATATATATATATATATATATATATATATATATTAGACCATTCATTCATGCATTAAGCACTGTTTAAACAAGGGGGAGGGCAGCAAAGGTATGGGCTGCCCCCGATGGTTGGGAAATGCCCGCTCTTGGCCCTCCTTGGTGGCTCAACTGCGTGAACCCAATGCGCTGCATGTCTCCACAAACTGAGCAGGGTGTAAAACCCCGGCGCTACGCCATACAAACTTTCTGGAAGCGCACCTGGAACTCTGGGGGAGACCTGTGCCTCGGCTTACAGATGCGCATTTCTGCATGTAATGCAGTGGGTCAGCGGATGCGCTGCGCTCTGTGCTCACCTCCACAGGTCCCCAGCGCCTCCGTCGTGCTACGCCGAGCGATTCCCAACCTGTTCTGCACTAAAATCAATGCATCTATCGAGCTTCTGCGTCATCGTTCATCCGTTCACCTCAGAGCACATTAACACGCATTCCTTTGAAGATGACTCTCTGCTGTTGCAGCAGAACATCTCCTCATTTGAATATATGTGAAGTAGGGAGATTGAACCCCTTCTAATGGGTTGAAAAGGGGGAATCGTGTCGCCCGAAGCAGTGAAGCAACAGGGCCCTCCTGTTCAGCTCATGTTCAGTAAATCACACCAAAAAGGAGAAATGTCAGTTCGGTGTGTGCGCAGTCCAATGTGGGACAGCAGGTTGTTTGACAGGCGCTTCCCAGGACTGCATATTAACCAAAGCACAATCAGCAACCGGGATCCCACCTCTTATTTCAGAAGCATTCATCTCATTCCTCCTCTGCATGCGTCTCAGTGAGCCACAGCGGACCGGTCCGCATCCCCCCCACCACCACCCCTCCATCAGCGGCCAGCAGCATCCAGCGCATAAATCCTGACGTGTCGCTCGCATCCTCCACCGCAGCTCCACAGTTTTAAAAGACTCCCCGTGATGGGAAAAAAAAAAGTCCCAAATAAGAAACCACTTACCTTTTCTCATCGGGCGCTCATTCTGAAGGGTCCCATTTATGCGTTTTAATCCACATCTGTTCTCCCCGTCATATGTGCGCTCTGTCTTCTCCCCCCGCGGTGAAGGAGGGAGAGAGGGAGAAAGAGAGGGAGATAGCGCGTCTAAGAAAATCCATGTCTTAGTTCCGTTTTATAGGAGGACACACAAGGTGAAATCACAATGACTTTCCTTTTTTTTTTGCGGGCTCAGAATTTCTTCCATCACTCTGAACCCCTCTATCTTGTCCTCTTTCCCCCCACTGTCTTCTTCTGCTTCTTCTTCTCTCCAGCTCTGAAGTTGCCTGGTTACCCCTGTTTCTCATTCAAGGAGGCAGAAGCGCAGCATACAGCGGCCAATCATAGCGGCAGCCCGAGAGATTAACTATTTCTTGGCTCCGCTTTTCCACTTTCAGGCTAAAAAAAAAAATAAAAAATGAGAAGAGTAGGCGGGGAAAACTGGGCCTCTGGTGACGGGAAAAAATTAAAATGCACAGAGAATAATATAAAGAGAGGGGGAGTTTGTTAGATGGGGGAAGGGGGCGTAGGGGATTAAAAATAAAGGAAAAATAAAGGATTCTGGAGAGGAGGAGGGACCAGTTGCCACTTATCAGCACAACAAAGAAGTAAGTGAATAATATTCCAGCTTCAGAGGCTGTTATGCAAACTTCAGAGAAGCTTGTCCTTCAGAGGACTGCTTGCTTTTTAAGCAGCAGAGATCCATCTCATTTCTGAACCCTCCCAAAAAGCAATCTATCAGGGTCATTGATCAGCCCTTCTTTAACCAGCCATCCATCAAGTAAGACCCCCCCCCACCACCACATCACCATCACATCCCCTCCTCTTTCCATCACCCCTGTCCAAGACCGTTCACCTCATCATACGCTGTATTGATTTCAATTCCACCCCTCCCTTAACCAGGGTGAAAGGTGCACAGGGGAGCACGCCAGGTTCAATCACTCCTACACTGTACAGATGGGGGGGCTTAATGAGCACCTACCTTGATGGTCTGCTCAATGAAGGGAGGGCTTCTACATCCAGGTCGAGCCCTTTGACACTACAGCGTAGAAATGTCTGAGCGTGTGAGACACAAGGACAATGCTGGCAGCAGAATGGTCTCTGCGGGGTTCCTTGCAGAGCTCCTGGTGCTTTATGGAGGAACAGTGGGGGGTCCTGACAGCGAGACAGCAAGCTTTTAGAGTAGTCTGAAAACGGCTGGGGTGGGATGAGGGGGTTGACCTATGCCTTGAGAGCACGCTCTCACACCCAGGAGCATTCCTGCACAGAATCTCACGCAGCGATTTGTATATTTACTTTTATGACCTTAATGCAAACGATGATATCCCTGCATACAGGCGTGCCCCAACCGCAAACCTCGCTGAGGTGTGCTGGGATTTGATGTCACAGAACAACACAAAATAGGTCACAGGTGAAGTAGAAGGAAAATGGAGCATCGTTTTAAATAAAAATCTAAAAATTGAGGCATGGTTCATAGGTTAACATCCCCCCCCATGTCTGTAGAAAGGTCTGTGTAACTCCATTCCACCTGTCAGGAATGTCAACTTTTTACTGAGAAAATGTAAGCCAGGCATACACTGTGCAATATTTTCAATCATTGCACGCAGCTGCAGCTCAAACTGTACGACGAAACCGCAGGGTTTAAAAGTTCACAGCTCACAACGTATGTTCTCGCACTGTGCGGCCCGTCACTCTGATGCGATCTTACAAGGGGCCGACTGAATTTCAAATATGTTTAATCTTCTCCCGACCTTACATTTCCTGATTGGGAGGTGGTCGTGAGAGGCTGATCGCCGCTCGTTACCTCCTGTACACTATGCGACGCACTATCAGGCTGAAAGTCGGCCCGATCGAAAAATCTTGCACAACTAAAAAGAGCAAAAAACTCGTACAGTGTATGCCTGGCTTTAGAAAATAGAAAGGTGGTCTGTGCATCAATTCCACATTTAGGACCAACCAGATTTCAGCAAAGTTATGCAATTTTAGCAAATGAAATGCATAAGCTTTGAAGAAACGATACAACATTTAAGTTCCTCTTTGTGCTGTATTGATATTTCCAAGGTCTCGCTCCCAAGCATCAAAAACCAATGCTTGGTCAAACCCATCAGATACTGAT